GTAAATAGTCTTTGGTCCAGGCATGTAGATTCTCTGTCACTACAGCATAGCTCTGGAATCCTTGAGAATGTGGAGAGTCTGTATGCTCACTAAAGCAGGTGAGTCTTTCCAAGAGGAGATCCTTGACTGTGGACTGTACTTCTCTCAGAAGACCTGAGGACTGGAGCCATAATGCCTTTCTCATAACCACCACCCTGGCCATGAATTTGGAGCACTGTCAGCAGCATCTTAGGGCAGTTTGGAGGGAGGTTATTGCAACCAACTGCCTGCCCCTCCACAATGGACTGACTGAGACTGGTCTCTCTGTCTGATTGTGTGGTAGATGCTCAATAAAAGTGTTTAAATTTTGAATATGTGGTAAAGCTGTATTTCATCATCAAGGCCGGATAGTTAACTATACATAATTAAAGAGCAGCTGACAAATAACTTGGTCTGCCCAGTAAGTCCTATCTCTTAGATTCCTTGTCTAATGGAGAGGTCTTGACCAAGTTTGGTGGCTCCTTTGATTGGCTCCATCCATCACTAAGGAATTAGGGCTAGGCTGGGGGAGGGGGAAGTGTTACATTCCCTTTGGCAGGATGTAATAGTTTGTGTCAGATTTCTTATAAAAGGGTAGAATTGTGGCAGGGGACAGTAATGCCTCATTAATGGGTAAAGCAAGCTTCCCTTAAGGATCAACATTCAAGATGTCTACCAAGGAATGTTGTGACTCTTGGACTTCGTCTTGTGGAATTTGGAGACAATCTGCCAGCCTCTTCATGAGGTCCTGGCTCATTCCATTAAGAGTTTTAGTTTAGCCTCCCTATCTTTTTTTGCACCTGCCCTTAAATCCCAGACAGACCTTGCACTTTGAGGGGATATAGGGGTCCCCCAAACACTGCAGGCAACTCAAAGTGTCACTGTTGGGAACAGACCTGTGGCAGGTCTCACACAGGGCTTAAACCCTGGGATCTTAGGCATCACAAATTGTGCTCTGGCACAGAGCTCCAGAAGAGGAAGGGGGAACCCCCCACTCCACGGAGCACAAACAAAATAAAATATAATAAAATAAATAGCTAATAAACAAATGAATAGAGTAGACTTTTACGATGTGAAAGAAAGGCGGGAAGCTGAAACAGCTAACAACAAGGACTTCATCTTGAGCCGCAGCTGGTTGAGAAGGAACTGAGTGGCAGCAGGCTCATGCCTACCTCTATCCCCTCATTCAGAGCATGAAGTGTTGTTTTGCACAGGCGCGGGCTCACAAGCACTACTTCAAGAGTACACAGATGCAAACACATCCTACGGTTGAGCATGCAGAGGGACATATACTCAAAGAAAAACACAACATTTGATATACATCTTCCATTGTACTAGCACACCAGTGTCAAAGTTAAAAATAAAAAGCCAGCATATTTTCAGGCCAAGGGTCTGAAGCAAGGAAAACTGGGGAAATTAAATTAAAAGAGACACTGAGACTAATAAGTAAGAGCTCATGGAAATTTGGTTGTTGCTAGATTTCCAAAAATTAACACATGTATCAATACATCAATATTCAGAAATGACCAAATGAATGTTTAAATTTAGTACTCCTAATACAATTGTTAGGAAATTTAATACATATCCTTTTAAGATACATCCTCAGACATCAACGCTGAAGAAGAAAGCATACTGGTATTTCTAGCATTTCACCAATCAAGTAAATATATTATTTCTCCGTGTGAGCACAATGGCTTGATAAATACTGGGGAATATGAGCGAATTATAAAATATCTGTATTTGAATAATAGAAATCCACGAAAGTTTGTGGGTCAGCTGGGTCATCCTCATATGCTTCATGGATGTTTGATTGTTGCATGCTCCCATCATCTTTAAAAAACAGTCCTTACCTAGCATTTTAAGGGAATAGGGTAGCAGGTAATTTTAAAAAAATTGCAAGCTTAAAAGAGCTAAGCACAAGCCAGTTCTCAGTGCATGGAATCTGTAGAACACTTACATGGTAGAGCAAATAGCTAGCTATGTCCTGTTCACATTCTTAAAAGGCAGAAACAAAGTGGTAATATTCAGTGTTAGCTGGAGCTGCTTAACATTCCATTGTTATCTTAACAAATTGGCTCAGTGGACCAAATTGTCCTCACCACCTTCATGAACCACCTAGGAATCCACTGAACGAGTTAATATTGGCCTTCCCTCTTAGGTTTCTGCAGCATGAAAAAACTGTTGAGAAAGGGAAGCTTTGGTAGCACAGCTCCACCACTCGCTACATTCAATTTGCTTGAAAACACATGCAACTTAGGAAAAGGGAAAGGAGAAACCATTTTCAGTGCATGAATGGCCCTGGTTTACTGGTCCGTGGACCTGCTAAGATCTGGCCAGATATGAGAATTCCGTTGGTCATTCCACAGGCTGTGAGAGGGGGAATAAACTCCTTGGCCATAGCAGGATGGAAAACTGCACATATCTCAGAGGGCTTTTTGTTCACACTATGTGGGATTTTCTGCAGAGGGCCTAGACTACTAAGCAAGCATTTCTGTTCAAAATTAATTGAAGACATTGTAGGCAGCAGATTCCAATAAATGTCACCCAAAAAAGACAATTCAGTATCCACATAAACCCAGGCGAGAAAGAGCATTCTTCTTGTTTACAGGGACAGAAGGTGAACGTATTATACAGGATGGAATCATATAACTGAAGTTTAATTTGCATATTTGCATTTCAAAGACAAACATCATGCTGGGTAAGAGAAACCAGGGTAGAAGGCCAGACAGTTTTGTGGTAAAGACACAGGACTGGGTACCAGCAGTCTCTTTCTGGTTCTGCCAAAGTCATCTTTGATAACATCCTGGTAACCACTCTGCTCTTCAATTTTCCTCATGTATCAAAGATATTCCTACTTCAAAGAGCTGTTGGGTGGCTTAATTCATCAATCTATCTAAAACACTTCAAGATCCTCAAATGGAACATGGTGTAAGTACTAATGCCACTGCTGTAAAGAAGTGACACCATCAGCTTTCCTGCTCTGCAGCTGTTCTTTAATTTAAAGGGCCAATGTCTAGGGAAACTTTAAAGATACTATATTTTGCTGAAATATGTGCTCTTAATTTCCCTTAACACAATTTCCTTTCATTACTAATTACTAAGTAAGTGGGTGTAACTTTCTCTTTTGTCTAGGCCACCTCCTCCTCACTTTATGCACTGACAATTCAGTGCTTGTGAAATCGCAATTTGTCACTATTCTGAACATCTCTGCTCTATTCAGATTGCTTAGGCAAGAGACAGCTACTGTCAGATACATTGGACAAACACTGGTGGTGGGAAGGGAAATACAGGAAAAAGGTTTAACAGGATGTTGATAAACAAACTTACATTTTTAACTATTTTTTTAAATCATTAATGCTAGAACATGAAATAGCTCCTACAACATTTGTGTAGAAACAAAAACAGAAGCATGGAGTCTTTCTCTACAATAAGTCCCTTTAAGGGTCTGGAGAAATTTAAGTGTTTTTGATTACATTAATGAAACAGAATATTAACTATCTGTCAGAGGAAGAAAGGAGACACCTATTTCAAGATAGAAACAAACCTTCTGCTTTGAATATTGGTTCAAATTCACATTCCTAGAACATTTTAAATCTTTCAGATTTACACCAATTCAATCTTCAGTTCCTAGAGCTATTTTGCATCACAACAGCAGTTTTCTAATGTGCCTACTTGTTCTTCAGTGGCTCTTGTTGGTAGCTCAGCTACATAAGAGGTCCAAATTCTGCTGCTAGGAGTAGTGCAATTCTGTCAACTGAAATGGAGCTTCAACTGATGTAAAAAAGCAGATGTAAAAAAGCAGATCTTGACATATCTTCCAAATGAAGTATATAGTTTTGGGATGAGAGTGGGAGAGATGAGAAGGGAAGAATAACCCTGCCAAAAAATCCTCTAGCACAACAAGTAAAGCATCATTATTAGCTGTATCAAACTGCTTAGATAGTTATTTTAATACCAGCCATAATCACTGTCTTCTTCACCAGATTTATTTAAGGCAATGAAAGATATTTAACAATTGTTTTTGAAGGAGGAGAAAGGAATTTTACTCGAAGCTGGAAATGAAAGGCCTACTAGATCATCTTGTCCATCTCCCTGCTGTTACAGGATTGTTTCCTATTGAACATTTAGTAGCCTTTAAAAAAAAAAAAAAGAAGAGAGAAATAATTCCGATAGAAAACTTTAGACATCTACTGAAACAGGTATTTGGGGAGTCTAGCCAAATGATATACCTCTCTTCTAGCAGGCAGACTAGAAAAGCAATACATGCTAGAGATAGTACCAGTGGTAAACAGTAGAAGGAAAAGAAGAAAAGCCCTCTTTCTTTTACCCGTTTTTTAAGTCTGCAAAAACCAAATTCCTAATATTCAAGCATTGAATGGCTGCCTTACCCACCTTTTCAGAGTTTCCCGGCCATATATTCGCCAGTCAAAGGTGAAGGAGAAGCAGTCAAGTTGTTCATTTTGAACAATTATGCTATAGTACAGAATGTTAGAGGCTCATCCATTGCAACATTTGAAATGGTGATTTACATCAAAATCTTTCTAGCTGTTCTAGAGAAATGGTGGTAGTATTTAGACACAGGCTAAATATTTTCACAAGATGTAAACTTATCCAAGAGCAATACATGGAATTATTTACACTCAACATTTAAAATTTACTTCTGCAAATATTAAGCATGGAAGTTAATTTGAGAAAATATGTGACCCGTGTTATTTTCCTTAATAAATGAGTATTATTTTTATTTATTATTCATAGTTAATATAAAATTAACAGTGAAAGTTAGCTCTGAACATTTTTTACAACACTTAAAGTTTGATTTTTCTATTGTTTAGATGTCAGTAGATTTACAAGAACAATCATTTAAATAAAAAAATATAAAGCCTATGTTTAAAACATGGCCTTTATTAATGCTCTCTAATGAACTCCATTTTATCTTACATTGAAATAGTTATGCTTTGCTTAAGAAAAGACGGAAAAGTGCATTTTACAAGAGTACTTTTTCTTTAATTCTCTGCGAAAATGGAAGGAATTGGAATCACAAGTTGACAAATGTGGTAAAATGAAGTTTCAAGAAACATCAATTTTAGTAATGCTACCCCCCATCACTAGTGTTTCGCTCTGACTTTCTGCTGTGTGAACCATAATATCCTGATTTACAGTCTAGAGCATCTATGTTATTACTCTACAGCATTTTAAGCACAGAAAGAGGGGTTAAAACCCCTTTCAATGTACAAACATGAATAAAAAAATTGATAAAAAAATCACTTTTATACATAATGTATATGCGAACTGTTTTAAATACATGGTTTTGGAAGAGTTATTTACAAACTGCATCAGCCCGTGGGACAATCCACAGACAAAGTATACACAGTTGCTTTACTTTATTGTTGCATCTCAACTTTGGGAGATATAAATTCATTCGGCAGTATAGCAAACATAAAAACTGTGACAAAGCATCTTAAGGGCAACCCAATAAAATTTGTTCCTCAAAACAATATAAGTACTAGGACTGCCAAAGTTTCCAAACAAGGTTATAGTTTAATCCAGATGCCCGATTACAGTTCTACATTGTGGAAGAATAAACAGACCCACTGCACATACAGGCATGGCTACTGGATAAAACCTCCTGTAAGAGCTAAAACTGATAGGTATGTTTTTTCAAAAGAGTGAACTAACCTAGAATTTTTTTCCAATTTTATTAATATTTTAAAAAATACATAAAAATACAACATCCAATGTCTGAATAAATATATTTAACAAGTTGCAAGATACCTTATTTTACACAAAAAAATTCAGCTTTAGAAATCTTGTTAAATAACTTCATTGTTGTTATATATTTCATTTTTCGTCTTTTTGTAACAAAATAAAAACTCTGAAATTACATAGAAAAAAGACAAAATATTTTTGTCAAGGGATAAGATAGTCCACTGAAAACCTATTCACAATTCCACTGTAAACATTAATAAACATTAAAATATTTGCATAATTGTGTGCTCAAAAATCCTATAAAAAGTGGAAGACTTATTACAACTGTAGTTTTCAGTCAACTACACTTCCTTTCACAATTTATTTTGTCCCATTTACATCTTTAAAACTGGGCACATTGCTGAACACATACTTTGGCAGTTCTGTATAGCAAGTGCTTCCACAAAGAGGAACTACTCACCAAGGGTTAGCATACAAGCTGGGTGAAAGTGCAGCAGTAACTTGATTCTGTTTGATAATATTCTGATGTCTGTTTGATGCACTTGCTTTTCTATGATTTCCTAGAACACCTGAATGCTTCATTGGACATAACTTTTCAAATCTGATAAGTGCCCTTTCTCTGTATTAACAAAAAAACAATAAACACGATGACAAACATGTCAGACGGTGCCTACAAACCTTCAGTTACCAATGAGCTTAATTTCTCAACAGTAAAAATAAAAATAAAATAAAATAAAAAAAACAGGAGGGAGAAAAAAGATACAGTCCAGCAGTGGAAGAGTGTACAGAATGTACTTGGCAATGTCAAACCAGTTGAGTGCTTTTTGTGGTTATATTTCAGGATTTATGTCCATGGCAGCAAACTGCTGACAAGGCAGAGAAATATGTATCACCTGCATTCTACAGCAAGCACATTCTGGGGAGGAGAAGATGATGACGGACTCATCCCAGTGTCTGATGAAGCAGATGACATGGATGCTCCTGTATGAGACACTGTAAATACATAAAGCAGGACATCAGCACCAGACTTCATTAGAGGAGTGAAGTTCTGGAACAGCCTTCCAAGGGGAGTAGTGGGGGCAAAAGACATATCTGGCTTCAAGACTAAGCTTGATAATTTTATGGAGGGGATGGTATGATGGGATAGCCTAATTTTGGCAGTTAGTTGATCTTTGATTATTAGCAGGTAAATATGCCCAATGGTCTGTGATGGGATGTTAGATGGGGTGGGATCTGAGTTACTACAGAGAATTCTTTCCTGGGTGCTGGCTGGTGAGTCTTGCCCACATGCTCAGGGTTTAACTGATTGCCATATTTGGGGTCAGGAAGGAATTTTCCTCAAGGGCAGATTGGCAGAGGCCCTTAAGGGTTTTCGCCTTCCTCTGCAGCATGGGGCACGGGTCACTTGCTGGAGGATTCTCTGCACCTTGAGGTCTTTAAACCACGATTTGGGGACTTCAATAACTCAGGCATAGGTTAGGGATTTGTTACAGGAGTGGGTGGGTGAGATTCTGTGGCCTGCGTTGTGCAGGAGGTCAGACTACATGATCATAATGTCCCTTCTGACCTTAAAGTCTGAGTCTATGAGACTGTCAAAGTATCCTTCACACTGGAGGCTTGCTTAGATATCAGATCTAGTGTCTGTACACACACAAAACAACTTAATAGATCCCAAGTGAGGCCTGTCAGGTTTGAGGTACGTCAACAGAGTTGTGTGTAGAAGCTTACATCGTACCTGCACCCATTATCCCTGGCTCAACATAGTGTCCTTACTAGTTGCTCATTTTAATGAGTATTACTGTCGTTTATTTATTTAAAATAGGCATGGAGGAGAAGTAGCAGTACAGGAAGACCTCTCAAAGTCCTGTTATAAAAAAATATAAGTGGATTCCTCATGTGTCGACTAGTAAGTTCAAAGCCTTAATGTTTTAGAGAACTACTCTAGTTTCTTTATTTTTCTATACTGTGCTCAGATACCATGGAGATGAGTAAATATTACTGGATTAAAAATAAGATTTACTTTCACTACAAAAAGCCTTATGAAACTGATCCAGATTATTTTTGCCCATTACTCTTCTCTTCTGTTTACATAAGCTGGATAGCTAACCTTATCATTTCGGTGCCTTAAATCATAAAGGGACAAGTCAATCTGTTATGCTACTTGTGAAAACCCAGATCCAGGGTACATTACAAAGGCCAGATCCTTGTCTTTTTAAAGTGAAATTTTATATATTCAAGATTTTAATTTATTATATATATGAATTCTGAAAAGCAAACCATGCTGTGGATTCTAATTTTATCCTGTATGGATAGAAGACAAGTTAAACTTTGTATAGTAACCATTTTTCCAAAAAGTTAAAATAACGGCTGCAGAAAATGTCAATTAAATGTAATGTTTTGGGGTCTACATGTTTAAAACAGACATTTCATGAGAGGGAGATCTGAGTGTAAAGCAAACTGGAAAGTTACCTTCTCTGTCTTTCTTTTTCAATCGTTTTCTTCTTCTGTCTATTGTTGCTACTTCTGACTTCAGGGACATGTAATATTTTCGAATTTCCTGTAGTTTTTCTTGTAGAAAGGAGATTCTCTCAGTGCTGTTCATGTTGTCTAGTTCATCTTAAGAGTGTGGGGAAAAGTTACTTTACGATGGTGATTTTAAGAAACGATAATGCAACATCACATGCAAACCAATAATGCATTTCCACAATACTATACTAAGTGGGGTTACATCCAAGACAGATAGCCAAAACCCACATTTTTCCCCTTCAAAATACAAAGTTTCTTATTAAATTCCATTTAATCCAAGGTGTTTTAATTATGGTAGATTAGCAAGAATTGTGCTCCTTATAAAAAAGGACAGTTACCTTTTCCGTAACTGGTGTTCTTCGAGATGTGTTGATCACGTCCATTCCACAATAGGTGTGCGTGCTCGCCACGTGCACTGGTGCCGTAAGTTTTTCCCTTAGTAGTGCCCTTAGGGGAGCGACCCCTGGAGTGTCACCACTAGGGTGTGGTGTAAGAGGCGCTGTGCGCTCCCCCCACCCGCAGTTCCTTCTTGCCACACAACACCGACAGAGGGGAAGGAGGGCGGGATATGGAATGGACATGAGCAAAACATCTCAAAGAACACCAGTTATGGAAAAGGTAACTGTCTTTTCTTTGAGTAATTGTTCATGTGCATTCCACAGTAGGCCATTCCAAGCTATATCTGTTGGAGATGGGTAGGAGGTCACAGACACTCTGGGTGGAGCACTGCCCTGCCAAACCTGGCGTCCTCCCTGGTTTGGGAGACGATAGCATAATGCAAGGTGAACATGTGGACCGATGACTACGTGGCAGCCCTACAGATGTCCTGAATAGGGACGTGGGCCCTCACAATTGGTGTCAGGGGAACTCCTGCCAGGTTGTAACAAGTACGGATACACGAAGTGATCCAGTTGGAGAGCCGCTGAGTGGAGATTTGCTGACCTTTCATGCATTCGGCCATGGTGATGAATAGTTGCGAAGACTTCCTGAATGGTATTGTACATTCCAGGTAAAAACCCAGAGCCCGTCTCACATCCAGCATGTGGAGGCAGCGCTCCTCACTGGACGCATGGTGTTTTGGAGAGAGCACCGGCAGGAAAATGTCTTGGTCCATATGATAGGCGGAGACCGCCTTAGGGAGGGACGAAGGGTGTGGACGGAGCTGGACCTTATCCTTATGGAACACCGTGTACGGGGGTTCAGAGGTCAGGGCCTGGAGCTCCGAGAACCATCTAGTGGACGTGATCGCCACCAGAAAGGCTATTTTCCATGAGAGGTGTGACCAAGAGCATGTAGCAAGTGGCTCAAATGGAGGTCCAGTTAGCCTGGCCAGCACGAACTTCAGGTCCCACTGGTGGACTGGGGGTTTAACATACGAAAAGAGGCGATCCAAACCCGTAAGGAATCGACCGGTCATGGCATGAGAAAATATCGTGTGGCCCTGCACTGGTGGGTGGAAGGCCAATATGGCTGCCAGGTGCACCTTGATGGACGAGGGCGCTAGGTCCTGAATTCTAAGGTGAAGGAGGTAGTCTAGTATAAGCTGGATCACAGCAGCCACTGGCAAGACACCCGATCAGCGGCCCACCGGGAAAACCAAGACCATTTCGCCAGGTAGGCCTGACACTTGGAGGGCATCCTGCTCTCCAGGAGGACGCGCTAAACCCCTTCCGAGCAAGTCCTCTCTTCCCAGCTTAAACGTTGAAGAGCCACGCTGTGAGATGGAGGGCTGCTAGGTTGGGGTGGAGAAGGCGACCTTGGTCCTGGGAGAGCAGGTCCAGGCCGGTAGGCAACGGCCACGACGGGGCGAATGCCAAGCTCATGAGAGTCCTGTACCAATGCTGCCTGGGCCATGCCGGGGCAATCAGAAGGACACGGGCCCTGTCCGTCTTTATCTTTTCCAAGACCTTGCCGATCAGTGGAAAGGCACAGAAGAGCTGACCCGACCAGGGCAGAAGGAGGGCGTCGGAGATCGCGCCCATGCCCAACCCTCCCCTGGCGCAGAAGCGGGGACACCGGCGGTTCTGTTGGGTCGCGAACAGGTCCACTTGGGGAACGCTCCATGTTTGGAAAATCCTGCGCACCACCTCTGGGTGCAGCAACGATTTGTGCTGAGAGGAGACGTCCTGGCTCAGCCGATCCGCCCGAGAGTTTTGGACGCCCGGTAAGTGGTGGGCTTCCAAGGAAATATTGTGGGCTATGCAGAAGTCCCACAGCCTGAGGGCTTCCTGGCAGAGGGCTGAGGAGCGGACCCAGCCTTGCCTGTTGATGTAGAACATCAAGGCCATGTTGTCCGTGAGAACCCTGACCACTCTGCCCGCTAGGCATGAGCGAAAGGCCATGCAGGCTAGATGGCCTGCCCTGAGCTCCTTGACATTTATGTGCAGGGCTAGGTCCTGCGCGACCACAGATCTTAGGTCTGGAGGTTTTCCACATGGGCTCCCCGTCCCAGGTCCGATGCATCAGACACCACCTCCACAGTCAGGAACCGGTCCCTGAATGGGACTCCTTGGAGCATGTTCCCTGGGGAGGACCACCAGCGTAGGGAGGCTAACACAGGTTCTACTTTGTCCATCCCGTCTCTGGACTGGGAGAATACCGAGGCCAACCAGAGCTGAAGGGGCCGCATCATGAGCCTGGTGTGATGAACCACATACATGCATGCCAACATACGATCCAGGAGTTGGAGGCACGCTCTGGTGGTCGTCACAGAGAACCTTGTGACCACGCCGATGAGCTCCCTTAAGGTTTAGAATCTGTCCAGTGGGAGGGAGGCTCTGGCCAATGTCGCATCCAGAATTGCCCCAATCAACTCTCTGCGTTGCACCGGTACCAATGTGGACTTGGTGTTGTTTACCAGCAGCCCCAGTGCAGTGCATGTGGACAGGAGGAGTGTTATGTGATCCTGTACGTGTGACCTGGATCTGCCCTTGACCAGCGAGTCGTCGAGGTAGGGAAGATCTGGACCCTCCCGACACCCGAGGTAGACCGCTACCACAGACGTACACTTTATGAAGACTCTGGGAGCTGTTGATAGACCAAACGAGAGGACAGTGAACTGGTAGTGCTCCTGCCCTACCATGAAGCGGAGGAAATGCCTGTGGCCCTCAAATATATGAATGTAGAAGTATGCATCCTGTAGATCGAGGGCGGCGTACCAGTCTCCGGGATCCAGGGAGGGAATGATGGAGGCCAGAGAGACCATGCGAAACTTGAGCTTTACCATGTACTGGTTCAGGCCTTGCAGATCCAGGATGGGCCTGAGCCCCCCTTTGGCCTTCAAGATAAGGAAATAGCGGGAGTAGTACCCCTTGTATCTGAACTCCGCCAGCACCACCTCCACCGCTCCTAAGCAAAGAAGCCGTCTCACCTCCTGCTCAAGTAAGCTCTCATGAGAGGGGACCCTGAAGAGGGATGGGGAGCAAGGATGGGTGGGGTAGAAAGAAACTGGAGGGTATAGCCCCGGGAGACGGTTCTGAGGACCCATCAGTCTGAGGTCAGCCATGACCACTCCGGGAGGAAAATACATAGGTGGTTGGAGAAGGGAAGATCGGGTGGATCCTTGATACAAACTGGTAAGTCGCCCCCAGGCGTCCCATCAAAACTGGCGCTTACCTGCCTGCTTCCCCTTAGATGGCCCAGGCCGGGATTGCCTTTGTGGGCACTTTTTATAGTCCCTTGATTTTTTATAAGGGGGCTCGTATCTGGAGTGGGTGGGCTGACAGAGTCTGTTGTGGTTTGAACTTGGTCCTGGCCGGGGCTGGGACATAGAGGCCAAGGGTCTTTAATGTCGTGCAGGAGTTTGTTCTGCAAACAGGGCCTTGCCATCGAACGGAAGGTCCTGCAAGGAGTTCTGTGCCTCGCTGAACAATCCAGACAGCAGGAGCCCCGGCACTCTCTTCATGGACACCGCGGAGGACATAGACTGTGCAGCTGTATCCGCAGCGTCCGCTGTACCCTCCTCCACCAGAGACTTAAACTCCTTTTTATCACGCTCCTGGAGGGAGTCCGCAAATTTGGGCGCTGAGCCCCACAAATTGAAGTTGCATCTGCCCAGCAGGGCTTGGTGGCTTGCCATCCTCAGTTGGAAGCTCGAGGACGAATAAATCTTTCTATCAATTAGATCTAGTCTCCTCGAGTCCTTACTTTTAGGAGTAGGAGCGGGTTGACCTTGACGCTCCCTATGGTTGACCGCCTACACTACACTAGAGAGTTGGGGCGGGGTGGGTATACAGATATTTGTGTCCCTTGGCGGGCACAAAATACTTCCATTCTGCCCTCTTAGAGATGGGGGGTAAGGAGGCCAGGGTTGCCACAGGGCGTTTGAGATCTTTGCCACCCTGCCCAATACCAAAGCTGAGAGGACATTGAAGAGTGAGTCCGAGGGTTCCTCCACCTCCTCAGCTTGTAGGTTAAGGCTTGATGCCACTCTTTTCAACAGTTCCTGGTGGGCTTTCGTGTTCTCCTGTGGGATTGGAAGAGGAGGGGCCATGATTGCCTCATCGGGGGAGGGGGAGGATGGTGGTGCAGTGCTCTGCGTCCCCACTGGTGCCACAGGTCCTATCACTTGTTCCCCTTCTGAGTGTGGGACTGAGGACGAGCGATCCGCTGACCCTTTCCTGGAAGGCTGAGAGAGGGAGGCCGGTGGTCTTTCCAAGGCGCTGGTCACCGAGCGAGCCACCACCCGGGGCTGCATCGGGGCCCAATGGTACCATCGCACTGCACCTGCTGTGGCACTGTTGGAGCAGACTGCCCCGCCTGACTCGCCTGGCCCACCAAGTGTCAACTTTGAAGGGAGGCCGGGCTGGCATACGATCGACCGCTATCCAGGGACGGGGATGAGTGACGACATCAGGAGCGGTGCCGAACATGAGACTGTGATCCCAGTGTGGAGGAACGAGAGTACCATCTATAGCGGCTGCTCTGCGACCGGCTCCAATGGATGGATCCGTGATGGCGGGGTGCTGGCGATCGATGCATGGGGTTGTGGGAGCGGCGCTGTGGCGGGGACCTCGAATGGAACGAAGAGTGGGAGCGGCATCAACGTCCATACCGCGAGGGGCTACGATAGCTTCTCAGAGATAATGATTTCCGGTGCCGTCTGTCTCGGTCTTGGCAGGGCATGCTCTCATCATGAGGTCTACATTCCCCCGAGGTGGAGCGGTGCCTGGAAACCCTGCTGCTCAGCACCCAGCCAGACAACCTGGTGGGGGTTGACGGGGATTGGCGCGCGTTGCGCACAGGGCGGTAGCTGTGCGGAGAATGGTATCGTGAACCTTCCCTCGACCATGAGTGGTACCATCCAGGCAGAACCTTCCCTCGACCCACCAGTGGTACCATCCAGGCAGTAACTGCAGGGGTCTGAGCGATGGCTTGCCTCTGGATCGGGGATCTGTTGACAGCAGAATGGCCGGTACTGGTAGAGACATAAGGTCTTGAGCCGCCTGCAGGGCCTCCCATGTGGCGGGCACCCAAATGTGGTCACTGGTGTCCGGGGAGGTCGGCTCGGAGTGGGCCGGGCTGCTCCACTCGACTTGAGTCGGAGGCGATGGGGACCGAGAACTGCCCAACGCGGGTCTAGTCTCTCCCCCAGCCTTGCTCTGGTGCCTTGGCGGAGAAGACCTCTTCTTCACCTTTTTAGACTGTCCCGTGGATGGAGAGTGGTGCTGACTGGTGGAGGGCATCAATGAGTCACCGCGCACCGATGCTGCAGTGCTCGGCGCCGACTTGAAATGGTGCAGCGGTGTCGGAGTTAGGGCCGACTCCATCAAAATGGCTCGGAGCCGTATGTCCAGCTCCTTCTTGGTCCAAGGTTTGAAGGATCTGCAAATTTTGCAGCGGTCGCTAAGATGGGTTTCCCCCAGACAGTGGAAAAAGTCCACGTGCGGATCACTGACGGGCATAGGCCGTTTGAAAGTGTCGCACAACTTAAAGCCCGGGCACACCTAACTAGTTCTAACTAAAACTTTTTTTTTTTTTTTAAATAACTAGAGGTACTACTAACTACGAACTAACAAATTCCAAAGAAGGAAAGCTACAGTAGAGCTGGAGCAGAGCAGTTCTGAAGCACCTTCACTGGCAGCAAGAAGGAACTGAGGATGGGGGGAGCGCGCAGCACCCCTTATACCGCGCCATCGCAGCGCCACTCCAGGGGTTACTAGGGGTGTTCCCCTACGAGTACTGCTAAGGGAAAAACTTCCGGTACTGGTGCACGTGGCAAGCATGCACACCTATTGTGGAATGCACATGAGCAATCACTCAAAGAAGAACAGACTGCTATGATATACTTGTATATTATACTGTATTTACATGGATCAACAATTTTTTCCCTTGAATAATCATTAGTCCTCCACTAATGGTTGTGGGGAAAAAGATTATTGGTTCTAAAATATTTGTCTCAGATCCCCAGAGTTTTAGGTTACAATATCTTGGAACTTAAAAACAAAAAACAAAACAAAAGAACTCCTCCGTCCTCCCCCTACACAATAATTTTGTTAGTCATCTTGCTCTTCCAACTCAATTCTTCAATCCCAACCTGAATTTTTGCAGCCCATAAGACCAGAATTAGAGATGAATGCCTGGATTATGCCATCTGAAAACTCAGATTCCAGATATTTACAAATTATATAAAATACTAGTTTCACAGTCTAGATATTCTTGAAGTAATAAACTGCTAAACCTATGCTGGAAATTAAATGGGGGGAAGTAAGATGATAATTTAAATACCATTTTTAAAAGGATTTTTATAGTATGAAAGTGAAGCACAGAAATAAATAAATACCAATAAACCTGGCTTTACAATGGTAATGAGCATGGATGCCAAGTGCCTTTTTGGAACTGAACATAGCAAGTTCTGGATATTGTACTAATATAATTTTGAACTCTGATTTAAATATTTAACACACTTTAAAAAATTCTTACTGAGTTGGAAACTCCATTTATACACTCTTGGGGAAGCACTGTGGTGATGTTTCTCTCTCTGTTTATCCTTTTCTCCATCTTTGATGTGAGGGGAAATTACTCTTGCAGGGGATCGCGCAAGCTTCTGTGGTTTGGACACATTTATGTGTTTTACTGGCGTACATTTACTTGAACTGTCCATGACAGGAAGATCTTCACTATCACTGCTTTGTCCTGTAATAACACAAATTAATTTTGATTAGAAGACAGACCTATAATTTTGGTATTCTTCTAACCCTACAATCTAGGTTACATAAACTGTGGTTATGGTCAGAAAAGTGAAAGGGAATATTGTGTTTCTTTACTCAAAAGACCCTGCTCCCTTTGTGGATTCCAAATTGTTTCAGATTACTGACAAACCCATTTAAAATTTTCTAATTTTGTTAGGTACTTTATGAGCTGACTCTTCAGGTGCACCAGTGCTCCCTCTAACCCCAGTGGTGGGAGCAGTTAGGGACTGAGTCAGCCCCTGCCAAAGTAGATTTTTTACCTACAAAAATAATACAGACATTTATTCCAAAATAAGTGTGTTTGCTGTTAAAAAAGCAGGTGTGACTTAAAAACACATTTAGTTATTTCAGTGTAGACAAGGCCCTAGAGTCACTTTTCAGAGTGCAAATGCATGAATTACCTATAGATGTGAACAATGTATGATCATTTCAGTAGAGTATGCATCTCTGATACAGAAGTACCTCAGAGTTACAAACACCAGAGTTACGAACTGATCAGTCAACCACACACGTCATTTGGAACTGGAAGTACACAATCAAGCAGCAGCAAAGACAAAAAAAGCCAATAGAGTACAATACTGTGTTAAATGTAAACTACTAAAACAATAAAAGGAATGTTTAAAAATAAGATTTGACAAGGTAAGGAAACTGTTTCCGTGCTTGTTTCATTTAAATTAAGACTGTTAAAAGCAGCATTTTTCTTCTTCATAGTAAAATTTCAAAGCTTATTAAATCAATGTTCAGTTGTAAACTTCTGAAAGAATAATCATAACATTTTTTCAGTTACGAACATTTCAGAGTTATGAACAACCTCCATTCCTGAGATGTTCTTAACTGAGGTTCTACTGTACCATATTCACATAGACATGCAGTGTGATCTTGTACTTCAGGGTATAGTTAGATTTATTTTGTAAAAAACAAAAACAATTTAAAACTTCTTACAATAGTGCCAAAATAAAGGTTCACATTTCAGGAAATTTTAAGTTACAGTTCCCACCAAAATCTTCACTCTGCACATATTAGGCATAATTTAACAGCCTATGAACATATTTGTTGCAGTTACTGTGGGAACCCAAAATATTTATTTGACATAAATCTTAACAATGCCATTGTTGGCATTGACTCTATTGACCTATTTGATTCAAATCCTTTAGCTATCTAAGGTCATCATTACTTATAAGGGGGTATAGAAGACTAAATTCAGACTTTCTGCAGCTGATTTAAAAAGGTTACATATCTGATCACGTCAACCACACATAAAAGTCCTGTCTCTAAAAGGTGTCGTACTTACCTCATTTCACTCTATATATTTTTTCTTGTAAGTTATAATTAATGTATCTTTCTCACCTTAGAAGCACTTGGACATGACTTTTCAAGGAAGTGCTTCTATTCAGCAAGCATAGGGACAAAAATGACAATTGAGCTGAACACATATAACCAGGATAACTGTAAAATATTTGGTATCTTCTCACATACAGCTGCCTTGTAAAGATATTTGATAATGAAAATGATGAAGATACCAGTCATGAGACTGCCAGATATTGTGGTTACTGAATAGTTGGTATAGTCTACTAGATATATAGTCAGTGGTCCAGTCAACACTAATTAAAGGCCCTGGCAAGGAAACCCTTACACATGTACAATGGTGATAAATATCAAAAGGATGGATTACTACACGCTTGTTATGATACAGCACGAACATTCACTTCCAAATGTACCTGTTCCATTCTTTTCATTTTTGGCTACAGCACTTGATCGCTTTGGAGTACGCTTTTGTTTCTTTGCCAGTGTCCCACTATTGCCATCGCTTGGCCTTTTTTGACCTGAAGAAAAAGAAAAAATGTGCCTCAAATATTTCTGCCTTCAATATACCCCTTTTAAAACAAATAGATTGAACTGAAAACTAGTATTAGAGGAAGCCAAATGCCACTTTTGAGTCAACAGTCCTTAGCAAAGCGATACAGGATTTACAATGGTTTCAGGAATTGTCAAAATAGAGATTGGCTTTTCACATGGGAAACACATACCCTTCTCTCCAGTTTCTCTGTCTTGTACTGCTATACTACAATTGCTTGAAGTGGTACTGGCTTCAAATCCATTAGCAGACTCGCTTTCACAGAGACCCTCTTGAGATTCTTCTGCCACACTGTCCACTTCAATCGTTACATCGCTTTCACTTTTTATACTGCGAGATTCATCCTGACTAAGAGCAAGGGGTGAGGCCACAGAGAAGTTAGGCTGGACTGCAGGGATTAAGGCAGATGGATTTGAGGTCAAAGTGTTGGGGTCTGGCTTTTCTGTTACTGCATCCTCACTACTGCTCTTTTCCTTTTCATCAAAGTCATCCAAGTCCACTTCATGGCAAAGTAGAGTTTCAGGTCCAATCTGAGGCATAGTGTCATCCTCATCTTTTAATGGAATATGCTCATTTTCCTCAGACGTACATTCAAAGTTTTCATTCGTCAGCTCTTGAACATGTTGATCTGACTCTGCTACTAAAGACGGCATTTCCTCATTTTCAGTTCTGAGTGACTCTTCATCATGGAAGTCTTTACATTCCTCCATTCCAATACATTCATTGGTCCTCTCCTCAGACACAATATTTGGCACTTCCATCTCACACTCTCGTCGTACCTTTTTCTCAGGCGATGTCTGTTCCAACGTTTTCCTTTTCAAAAGCTTCTTATCTTTTGTACAAGGGTCTGTTTCATTTTCAGTAGTGGTGGAAAACTCTTTACTGTCTAAGGAACAAATTTCTGACCTTTCAGATTCTATGAGGGTTTCATTTGTTTCCTCTTCCTGGCTTTCTGGCAAAACCTTTATATTCTCTAAAGAGGGATCTCTTGTCTTGCTCCTTCTTCCCTTCCCCTTAGGTGATTTTTCAGTCTCTTTTTTAATTTCTTCCACTTGTTCAGCTTTGTTTCCAAAAATCTGAACTATTTGTTCACTTTCTTCAACTTCCAGTTTCAAAGTTTCTAGAGGCTGCACTTGAGTCCTGTCATTTTCTTTCATCAATACATGTGGGATCTTTGGGTTTTCTTCATCAGGTTTCTCATCAATTAGTTTTTCATTTTTTTCCATATCTGAAATTTCTGCCGAAAATTCTTCATTCATACTCTTTTCAGAAGTCTCATCAGCTTCACTGTCAGATGAACCAGAATCTGCAAGAAAATAAGATTAAAAAACAACACATCAGGTCATTGTTAAAGCACAACTTTTTATATTAGCTATGCAGATACTATTCAATAACCCACACAGATACAGTGTCCAAAATCACTTTATAGAAAAAAAAAAAAAAAATCAAAGAGTTTTAGGTTT